GAAATGACCCAAAAATTTCTATGTTCTAGTCACGTGATTTCCATAATTTTTTGATTGAAAAAACTAGACATGTGGAACATTGTTTTACAGTTTACAGAATTGATCTAGCTCATTCCGTTTGGGAGATATAACGATTTCCTAACTATGTGATTTTTTTGACGGACTGGATAACACATGGGTATGACTGGGAATACATTATTACTTATATGGTATAGCAATACGGATACTGATCATAAAAACATTAAGTGTGTTTTAATAAATTAATTAATGTAATTATATAACAAAGTTTATTAGAGGTAATACAATTTGAATTGTCAATCTTTAATGACTTCTATTTATTATCATTATATCATGCATTAAATTAACGACAAGTGAATAATCAGTAAATATTATTCATAAAAATGATAATTTAATCAATTATTTTTTCAATAATTAAGTAATCTTTAAACGGTATAAAACGGTTGAAAACTTATGGAAATTAATGCACAAAATCATTATTTATTTATACAGTATATTTTGTTTGACAAGATTATTGTTTTTATTAATATTGAGGTTTAAGGATCCCCGCTTTAATTGCTTGACTTAAAACAAAGCTAGATTAGTCTACTATTAATTACCTGTACACAACAACCTTGTTTATTTGATAGTTACCAAGTATACTAAATAGGAATGTTCATTATTAGTCACCATCATCGACAGTAACACTATCACAACCACCTTGGTAATTACCGATTTGCTATTATAACGTATTGTTTTGCGTAAATAAGTTATTTATCATTTTGTCAAATCATTTCATCAAATAAAAATTTATTTCACATTTATTGTCGTATATTTATTATTGTTTCAATGTTTTTGTTATTTTATGAATTGTTTGTTTGCAATACTCTTTTGATAGTAGTATTTGTCAGTATTTTCACCGATAGATCCCTACAATAAAATAATTTGCAACAAATACTACTCTGTTTTAACTTTTGTTTTATTTTGTGGATTCGTTTGCAGACTATTTTGTGTCAATAGTTATGGCATTCAAAGTGATTAATAGTATTATAAAATATATAAGTTATATATAAAACTGATAACATATTCCTGTAATCAACGGTAAAATGAGTTATTACTCTCATATTCTCTCTCTCTCTCTCTCTCTCTCTCTCTCT